AGCTGCTCTGTGTTAAAGCGCGTCTGTGTAAAGATTTCTCTGTGTGTAAAAGCTTCCGTGTGTAAAAACTCCTCTGTGTAAAGGCTTCTCTGCGTAAAAGCTTCTGTGTGTAAGCGCGTCTGTGTGTTAAAGCTCCCTGTGTAAAGACTTCTCTGTGTAACAGCTTCTGTGTGTAAAAGCTCCAAGACGTTTGTGTGCAAAAGCTCCTTCGAGTAAAGACTTCTCAGTGTAAAACCTTTGTGTGTAAAAAGCTCCTTTGTGTAAAGACTTCTCTGTGTAACAGCCCCTGTGTGTTTAAAAGCTTCTGTGCGTCTCCTCCCTCCAGCTTTCTTTGGGGTCACGCTGTCGTCTAGTTTCAATCTGCAACGTTGTTTCTCGTGGAAGAATGCAAAGAACATGTGAAAGCATCGCGCGTTTAAAACATGGAACATAAACAGCGCACAAAGTGCTGTAATTTACAGCATTTTGCGCTGTCAGATGGCAAGAACCCGTGTAAATACCGCAGTTTTTTCCCCGAAAGTGGCTAAAACAATGTTATTTACAGGGTTTCGTTCACGTCACTCATCAAGACAAAAAAGCGGCTCAAAAAGTGCAAAAAACGCTGTCATTTACAAGGGTTTGGCGCCGTCGTGGGCAAAAAACTGCATAAATACCAGCGTTTCGGCGTCCAAAAGTTGCAAAAACACTGCTATTTACAGTGTTTTGTGCCTTCCACGTTTTCTTGGCATTCCAAAAACGGTGTAAATACTAGCATTTTTTGCGATCAATCCGCCAAAAATGCTGTAATTTATAATGTTTATTTGCTTTGCTTTCAAAAACACTGGTATTTGCAGTGTTTTGTGCATCTCGGGTCCAAAAAGTATTGGTATTTACAGCATTTTCTGCGTTTTTGCATTGCTCCCGCAAAAGACGTTAAAAGGCAAAAATGTTGTAATTTACAGCATTTTGTAACTTTCGAAAAGCTAAAAATCGTCCGAAAAATGTTTCAAAACGGCACTTTTTTTCCGATTTTAGGTACCCTCAAAACGGGGGGGGAATGCTCTTGGAGACGCTTATGAACGACCCTGATTCGGGCCAAAAAGCTTTCCCCCAGCAGAGTGAAGGATTTTTGGTGTTTTTCGGGGCCCGGGGTCGGACGGTCGGCGGCTTGGGGCGCCTCACCATAGGCTCTAGTCGCTCTAGGACGCTCGTAGGGCAAGCCACTCAGCTGACGCTCATCGTCGGCTCCGCCGGATTACTCGACCCTCCATTTCATCGCAGCGTGGGCTTGATAGCTATTGAATGAGGACCTGCTGCAGAAATATATTCCTTAAGCTTTTTGGAACATATTCATGGAATAGGAACTTTGTTGGAAATAGACTTTTTTTGGGGGAGCAAGTGAGTTCCCGAAAGCTCCTGCGAAGGGTTTTTCCTAAAGAATTGCTGCCAATTTCAACTTGTTACTTCGTGTAAAGGCGCCTCTGTGCAAAGACTTCTCTGTGTAAAAGCTTTTGTGTGTAAAAGTTTCTGCGTGTAAAAACAACTCTGTGTAAAGACTTCTTTGTGTAAAGCTTCTGTGTGTGAAAGCTTCTGTGTGTGAAAGCGCATCTGTGTAAAGATTTCTCTGTGTGTAAAAGCTTCCGTGTGTAAAAACTCCTCTGTGTAAAGGCTTCTCTGCGTAAAAGCTTCTGTGTGTAAACGCGTCTGTGTGTTAAAGCTCCCTGTGTAAAGGCTTCTCTGTGTAACAGCTTCTGTGTGTAAAAGGTCCTAGACGTTTGTGTGCAAAAGCTCCTTAAGCGTAAAGACTTCTCTGTGTAAAACCTTCTGTGAAACTTCTGTGTGTAAAAAGCTCCTTTGTGTAAAGACTTCTCTGTGTAAAAGCCCCTGTGTGTGTAAAAGCTGGCTGTGTGTAAACGCTTTTGTGTGTAAAAGCTCCTCTGTGTAAAGGCTTCTCTGCGTAAAAGCTTCTGTGTGCAAACGCGCCTGTGTGTAAAAACCCCTCTGTGTAAAGACTTCTTCGTGTAAAAACTTCTGTGTGTAAAAGCTCCTAGACGTTTGTGTGCAAAAGCTCCTTCGAGTAAAGACTTCTCTGTGTAAAACCTTCTGTGTGTAAAAAGCTCCTTTGTGTAAAGACTTCTCTGTGTAAAAGCCCCTGTGTGTGTAAAAGCTTCTGTGCGTCTCCTCCCTCCAGCTGGGGTCACGCTGTCGTCTAGTTTCAATCTGCAACGTTGTTTCTCGTGGAAGAATGCAAAGAACATGTGAAAGCATCGCGCGTTTAAAAAATGGAACATAAACAGCGCACAAAGTGCTGTAATTTACAGCATTTTGCGCTGTCAGATGGCAAGAACCCGTGTAAATACCACAGTTTTAGTCCCCGAAAGTGGCTAAAACAATGTTATTTATAGGGTTTCGTTCACGTCAAGATCTTCGTAAATACCGCGTTTTTCGCGTTCATCAAGGCAGAAAATCGGTTCAATTAAAGGACCAGATAACCCCACATGTTAAGCCTTCCGATTGTTATGAGACGAGGGTGATGACTTGGGATATCTTGGGATGGTGGGAGCAGATAGGTGGATGGATAGATAGATAGGTAGATAGATAGATAAGATAGATACGATAGATAGGATAGATAGATTAGATAGATTAGATGGATTAGATAGATTAGATAGATTAGATAGATTAGATAGATTAGATAGATTAGATTAGATTAGATTAGATTAGATTAGATAGATAGATAGACCGATAGATAGATTAGATTAGATCGATAGATCGATAGTTCGATAGATCGATAGATCGGTGGATCGATAGATCGATAGATCGATAGATCGATAGATCGATAGATAGATTCGATAGATTAGATAAATTAGATAGATCGATAGATTAGATAGATCGATCGATAGATAGATACCCTGAGCATCGGATATTGATTAGAATCAATATTTGCAGGCTCTCAGATATTGATCTAATTGATTTGCCTCCAAATCAATTGATGGCATTTGATTTTTTTATTGATTTGATATTGGTTTGTAAATTGATTTGCTAATTGATTTGGTTTTGATGTGTTGGAAATTCAGATCAATTGCTCACTCCAGCTGTTTTTGGCTCCAGTTTTGAAACAGAAAAGCAGTAGACGGAAAACGCCAAACAACTTTTGATATCAGCCCTGGTCTTGGAAAGGGCTGCCTAGTTGCAGTCTTGGAAAAGACTAGTTCCAAGTTTTGGAAAAGACTAGTGCCAAGTTTTGGAAAAGACTTGGCCATGTCTGGCAGAGGTGGTCCCAGGCATGAACCAAAGCCTTGGGTGGATGTTGGGCTTTTGTACAAATGCTTGGAAAAGCATGATGGCTTGGTGGCAGACTTGGGCTCCTATAAGCATCTGAACTCAGCAGCTGCTCCCAATGCAAAAGCCCTCCTCCACTTGAAGGACTTATGGGTTGGTTTGTTGGAATTGTCGCCTAGTGGCAATATCCACAGCCAACCCTTGAGGCAAGCTTTGGTCAGCTTGCTAGCAGAGAAGCCTGACATGAATCAAGGAAGGCATAGTGGAGGTGTATGGGCCAATCTGAAAATAGAAAGGTTCAATTGCCTCTTGAAACATGTCAGGATGCTAGGCAGGAGCAAGGCTGCTCTGGGACCTGCTGTTTGCCAGTTGACCAAAAGCGAATATACAAGTCTTCTGGCTGGCTTGGAAAAGCTACAACTTCCCCAAGAGAAGGTAAAGGAACCAGAGAAGAAAAAGGAAACAGCAAAGAAAAGGGAAGTTGAAGAAAAAGCAAAAGAGGAGGAAGTTGAGACTGGAAAGTCTAAAAGAAAGCTTAAGCCAAGAGACAGTGAGGTTTCTGTGGACTCCAAAGGAGTACCTCAACTGTTCAACAGCCCTTTTGGAAAAAAGGAAGAAGCTTCCTCCAGCAGTGGTTTGAAAAAGCCAGCTGCAGCAGGCTCCCAGCTTGCCAGCTTGCAAAGGCCAGGAACAAGGCTGTTTGCAAGCATGGGCTATGGTTTGGAAAAGCCACTGCCTGGAAAGGCAAAGCCAAAAGGAGTGATCAAAAGACCTAGCACCAAAAAGAATTTCAAACCCCTGGCAAGGGGCACCACTCCTGGCAAGAGGCAGTCATGGGTGCATTTGTCCCAGACAGATGCCAGCAACCCTCCAAGATCATACATTCAAGGCAATGTGACAGGAGGGAAGAAGCACATGATTGTGCAAGTCACAGCCCACCAGTCTCAAAATTACAAGGGGATAGTGGGCAAGCTCAGGGAAGCTTTGGAAAAGGATTCCCTGACTAAGGGGGAGGCAGTGAAAATGAGGGATGAGCTCTTGGAAAAGGAGCGCTTCACATGAAGTACCCCCATGGGTTTTGGAAAAGACCCACATAGCTGCCACCTGGGTTTTGGAAAAGACCCTGCTGGGTTTTGGAAAAGGCCCAACTTCAATCTGCTGGGTTTTGGAAAAGACCCATGGGTTTTGGAAAAGACCCATGGGTTTTGGAAAAGACCCTCTTTCACCTGCAGGGACCTAGTCAGACAGGTTGGATTTTTGTTTAAAAGAAAAAAGTGTGGGAGTGAGGTGGGCCAGGGTGGTTGTTGGTTGTTGGTTGTTGGTTGTGGTTGTGGTTGTTGTTGTTGATGATGTTTGTTCTTGTTTTGTTTGGCTTGGAAACTGTTTGTGCCCCTGCAGCCATTTCAGCTTGAGGTCAGAACAGGCTCACACACACATGTACCACACACACAGCACACGACACACACAGCACACCACACACACAAACAAAAGATATATGTACAAGTACACAGCAGCATGCATGATAAGTACACCGCAGCATGGATAGACACCACAGATAGTCACAGATAGCACCACAGCATAAACTAGGCAGCACAACACAGCCTTGTAGTTGAGCTGTTGGTGGTCTTGGAAAAGACCTGCACAAGTTTGGAAAAGCTTGTGAGCTTCACAAGTTTGGAAAAGCTTGTGACCTTCACAAGTTTGGAAAAGCTTGTGGGCCTGGCATTGTTTTGGAAAAGACAATGTCACAAGCACCAGAGGGCCCCAAGAACGAAAAGGGCAGACCCTTTGGCTCTGGCACAACAAATGCCAAGAGGAAGGAGGCAAGGAAACACCTGCAGTGGTCAGCATTGGAAAATGCTAACCCCAGTGATCCTGCCCATCTCTTGGAGCATTTGAAAGCTTTGGAAAAGGCTCAGAAAAAGTGCCAAGAAAGGCTGACTGAAGAAATTCAGAACAGCCTGGATGCATGCTCCTCTGGAGAGCCAGCTCCCAAGGCTGCAAAGACTGCTGGAGGGAGCAAGCAGGTGGGGAAAGATGGCCAGCCCAGAAAGGCCACCCTCACCCCCGCCAAGGATTTGGAAAAGTCCAAGGGCTTGGAAAAGTCCCAGAACAGCAAGGATTTGAAAAAGTCCAAGGCCAAGGGCTTGGAAAAGTCCAAGGATTTGGAAAAGTCCAGGCATCCCTTTGGCTGAGGGTTTGGGGAAGCCCTTGGTCATTGTGGATTGGCACCTCACACTGGTGCAGAATGACGACACCATTGCAGAAAGGGACCTTCATGCATTGAAGGTCCTGGCCTCAAAGGTGGATGTCCTCATTCTCTCCTATGTGTGGAGTGCAGCCAGGGAAGCAGAGGTCCCAAAACAGGTGAAATCCCTGGTGCCTTTCTGGAAGGACCTGAAAGGGATTGAGACTGTTTGGTCCAGGACAGGGGAAGATGGCAAATGCAATTTTGCCTGGCAGGAAGAAGCTCTGGCAGTCTTCGATGACCACAAGAAGATCTGCCTGGAGTGTGCCCAGTGGGGCCTGGAAATTTACCCAATCTGCACTTCATACCAGAAGCACAACTGGTATGGAGGTGGGTACAAGAGCTTTGCTGATGCTGTGGATGAATTCCTTGGAAAACATGGGTACTAGGAGCCCATCCACAGCATCAGCAAAGAGGTTTGGAAAAGCCCAGGCCCTGCAGGCAGCTTGGAAAAGCTCCTTGCCACCCCAGCAGTTGATTTGGAAAAGCCAACAGTTGGTTTGGAAAAGCCAACAATTGATTTGGAAAAGTCAACCTGTTGATTTGGAAAAGTCAACAGGCCAACCAAATGAATTCCATGCATGACCCAGAAGAGGCACCAGGGACAGAAGATTTTAAAAAAAGAAACTATTATACCAAGTTAACATATATTCTTATCATATAGACATATTTGTTGGTTTGTGTGTTGTTGTTTTCTTGGGTCCCTGGTTGCTAAATTTCACAAACCTAGTACTTTAACTGGAGACTTGTACTTTATCCTGTGGCCATAAGAAAGAAATACCAACCATGATTATTTTGAGGTTTGGAAATATATATGCTGCCTCAACAGGCATGCCCTGAATTATGCAGAGAGAGCTTTCAGGGGATGATAAAATATGAGAAATATACCTCCTATCATTTGCCCAGGAACTCAAGCCCGTGCTTTGCGTCATTGGATAATGAATTCAAATGTACATTTCCATCATGAGAACTGTAGCTTTGTTTTTCAGCCATAAACCTAGTTATTCCTTGGTGTCATGTGCCAAAAGTTAAAGTACAAGTCCCAAAGTTAAAGTACAAGTCTCAAAATTTTGAGACTTGTACTTTAATTTTGGGACTTGTACTTTAACTTTTTGTATGACAGAATTTGGGAAAATACAAAAAAATAATCTTTTTTTCTCAAATCTGCATACAAAATAGCTAAAGTACACCTGTACTTTGACTTGTTGTAGGGCAGATTTAGGATTTTTAGCTATTTTTTCTGTTGTTTTATCCAAATTATGTCATGCACAAAGTTAAAGTACAAGTCCCAAAGTTAAAGTACAAGCCTCAAATTTTGAGACTTGTACTTTAACTTTGGGACTTGTACTTTAATTTGTTTCTTTTCCAAATCTGTAATGCTGACTTGAAACAATTGCTTGTTGAGATCAACTTTGTGTGAAATTTCTACACGAATCGGCTGTGCGACACTGATGACAGAAGTCGAAGGAGTGAAACAGCAAAACTGTAACGCACACACACAAGTAAATCAACTATATACTTTTCACATACCAATTGTACAGTAACTCAAGGCAGTTGGCTCAGCTTTGAGGTCATTCACATGGCATCATTGGAATCGATAGGTTTTTATTTTTTTATTTTATATAAAATATATAAAGTACTAGGCAGAAACTTAAGTACTTCACCGAACCTGGTTTGTGAAATTTAGCATCCCTGGTGCCTCAGTTTCACCATAAGCTGATGGGTTTGGAAAAGCCCTTAATGCAGTCAGCTGATGGGTTTGGAAAAGCCCATCAGCTGTAGTTGCAAAACTTGGGGCTCCTAATTATGGAGCCCCTACCAAGAAGAATAAAATGAAATGAAAAAATATAATAAAAATATAATAAAATAAATTAAAACAAACTAAAATATATTTAAATATGTATATATGTATTTATTGGAACTTATTTAAATATATTGTATATATATATTTATATTATTGAAAACATATTTATATATATAATATATATTGATTGCATATATCATGTTTTCAAACCATTTATATATTGCATATACCTATGGGTTTCTTATAAAAAACATATTTCATAGTGAAACATTGGATGGACTCACCTTTAAAAAATCAGAGCCAAACTTTGGTGGGCTCACCTTTTATTGTTTTATTTCAAGAAGATAGTTCAAAGTGAAACTTTGGTGGGCCCACCTGTTTTTCAAGAACAAGTAATTAAAAGTGAAACTTTGGTGGGTTTACCCTTTATTTTTTATTTCAAGAAAATAGTTCAATGTGAAACTTTGGTGGACTCACCTTCTTTTCAAGAAAAAGTAGTTCAAAGTGAAACTTTGGTGAACTCACCATTAATTTAGATTTCAAGAAAATAGTTCACAGTGAAACTTTGGTGGGCCCACCTTCTATTCAAGAAAAAATATTTCAAAGTCAAACTTTGGTGAACTCACCTTTTATTTTTGATTTCAAGAAAATAGTTCACAGTGAAACTTTGGTGGGCTCACCTTAAAAAAATCAAAGTGAAACTTGAATGAACTATTATTTTTTCAAAACATAGTTCACAGTGAAACTTTGGTGGGTTCACCTTTAAAAAAATCACAGTGAAATTTGAGTGAACTCACCTTTTATTTTTTATTCCAAAAAATAGTTCACAGTGAAACTTTGGTGGACTCACCTGAAAAAAAACACAGTGAAACTTGAATGAACTCACCTTTTTTTCAAAACATAGATCACAGTGAAACTTTGGTGGGCTCACCTTCAAAAAATAGTTCACAGTGAAACTTGAATGAACTCACCGTTTTTTTATTTCAAAAATAATTCACAGTGAAACTTTGGTGGACTCACCTGTTTTTTTAATTTTTTTGAAAAATAATTCGCAGTGAAACTTTGATGGGTTCACTATTAATTTTCTATTTTATTTTTTTCAAAAAAAATCGGAAATTCAAAATCTGACCAAATTTGACCAAAATAAGGATTTCATCAATTTTGGTCAAATTTGGTCAAATTTGGTCAGATTTGGTCAGATTTTGAATTTCCTAATTTTTTTGAAAAACAAAAACAAAAAATTAATAGTGAACCCATCAAAGTTTCACTGTGAATTATTAAAAAAAACAGGTGAGTCCACCAAAGTTTCACTGTGAACTATTTTTTGAAATTAAAAACAAAATGGGTTCATTCAAGTTTCACTGTGATCTATGTTTTGAAAAAAAGGTGAGTTCATTCAAGTTTCACAGTGTTTTTTTTCAGGTGAGTCCACCAAAGTTTCACTGTGAACTATTTTTTTTGGAATAAAAAATAAAAGGTGAGTTCACTCAAATTTCACTGTGATTTTTTAAAGGTGAACCCACCAAAGTTTCACTGTGAACTATGTTTTGAAAAAAAATAGTTCATTCAAGTTTCACTGTGTTTTTTTTTAAGCTGAGCCCACCAAAGTTTCACTTTGAACTATTTTCTTGAAATAAAAAATAGAAGGTGAACCCACCAAAGTTTGGCACTAATTTTTTTTAAGGTGAGTCCACCCAAGTTTCACTGTGAACTATCTTCTGGAAATGAAAAAATATATCAAATTTGAACAAATACCAATTTTCTGTGAATGCAATATGTAAATAAAAAATAAAAAATATTTCAAATTTGAACAAATATCTTTTAGAAAGTAATATTCAAAATGTTAATGTTAAAAACTAGAAAATAAAGCGCTATATTGTGAATGTGTGTTTTTAAAGCCAAACCTTTTTCCAAAAGTTAGAAATTCATTTCATTAACATTATTTTTAACACAATATTTAGTTATTATCAAATAAAATTATATTTATATTTTTAAATTTTAGTTTTTTAATATATATATATATATATATGTCTAATTATATCAAACCAAGGCCATTAATATGAAAATATATCGATTTGCATCACATGTCATGCAACACTACCCTAATCATGTCTTGTCGGTACCAAAGGATAAAAACTATTTCTAACCAAACCATGGCTCATGTTTATCCAAATGTTTGTGAATGCTTTTCCAAGCACATGCAATCCCTTCTGCAGCTCAGTTGATCAAGAAGATAGGTAGGTAGGTAGGTAACAGGTTGTGAGCCAAAGCCATGGCACCCAAGAAAGTGATGAAAACAATGAAGAAAAAGGGTTTGGGAAAGCCCAAGCAGGATTTGGAAAAGTCCAAGAAGGATTTGGAAAAGTCCAAGAAGGATTTGGAAAAGTCCAAGCTGAACCAAGAGAACTTGGAAAAGTTAGGTCAGCTCAGCCTCCAAGAGAAAATGGCCAATGCTGCAGAGCAAAGCGAAAGCCCAGAGGATGCAGCAATTGTGCTGTACAAAAGCATGACAAAGGAAGAGAAGGCCAAAGCTTGGAGCAAGCACCAAGCTGCCTTGAAAAAGAAAAGTGAGGAGGAGAGAGCTGAGCATGAAGGCTTGGCCAAAAGAGAAAAAGGCATAGCTGCTGCTGCCTATATCTTGGAAAAGGAAGGCAGGCAGTACATGGTGGCCTTGAAAAAAGCCTCCCACAGTGAAACTGTCAAGCAGAAGGACAACTGGCAGAGTGAGCTCCAGATGCTTGGCAAATCGACAGCCCAAGAGCTGGACAAGCATATCCAGTCTGGCCGAATCCACTGGAGGGAGTGCCCAGGGACCAGAGGTGTCTTTGAATACAAGGACACCCAGGATTATGAGAGGGAGTTGTCTTGGAAAAGGCAAACTGAGTTCCAGCATGGGAAGGAACATGAGCCAGAGGATGAGGACTTGGAAAAGTTCTTGGAGCTCATTGACCAGGACTGGTCCTCCCTCTCCCTGGATGACAAGCCTAAAGGCCTTGGAAAAGGCAAGGGTTTTGGAAAAGACCCTAAGGCCAAGGCCAATGCCAACAAGAAAAATGTCTCAGGTGTGAAGAAGCCTGGAAAGGCAGGCATCATGGATGAGACCGACCTGGGCAAGGTTTTGCAAGCATGCAAAAAGGCCAGGAACATGTTCAGCTCCTCCAAAGATGACTTGGAGAGGGCTTTGGAAACGGCCAAAGGACAGCTGTCCAAAAATGGCCAGAGCAATGCCAACTCTTTGCTCAGTGAGCTTGGAAAAGCTCTTGGGCAGTTGAAGACATGCCTCAGCAAGCAGAATCCTGATGTTACAAAACTGAAGGAATTCCTGATGTCTGTGGCCAATCTCATCAAGTCTGCCAAGGATGAGACCAAAGAGTTGAGGCAGCTTGCAAACAAGGCAGCTTCTGTTGCAGGCAGCAGATCTGCCAAGTAAGTTTGGAAAAGCTTACAACTCTGCCAAGTGGGTTTGGAAAAGCTCACCATTTTTGCCAAGTGGTGTTTGGAAAAGCACACAGTTTTGCTCAATGAGTTTGGAAAAGCTCATGTAGTGAGCTTGGAAAAGCACAGGTGTGTAGCTATAGAATGCTC